AGTTGATTTAGATCTTGACTGTTGTTCGCCAAGAGAAAAGAACAATTAAAGGAATTGGACCTGTTAGACCTTTTGTTCATGGGCTGCCTGGGCATTGTTATGTAGCCCTGACATGGCCTTATGCTGATTCCCTTCTTGTAGAACAAGAGATACTGACTAGAGCAGGGGTGGGCAAACTTTTCGACTCGAGGGCCACAATGGGTTCTTAAACTGGACCAGAGGGCCGGAACAAAAGCATGGATGCAGTGTTTCTGTGAACTAATATAAATTCAAAGTAAACATCATTACATAAAAGGGTACAGTATATTTTTTTTTTTAGTTTTATTCATTTCAAATGGGCCGGATCCGGCCCCCGGGCCGTAATTTGCCCACGGCTGGACTAGAGAATGCATGATGGGAAATCCCTAGGTCTTAGGCAGCACTCCCACAAGGGGCACTGTCTTTACCATATGAATCCTTTGTTTTCCCTCCATTTATTCTTCCCTTTCACTTTCTCCATTTACTTTTTTACCTTCTCTTTGCTTCTACCTCTTTTGGTCGCTGTGTTTGACTCTCTCTCTCTCTCTCTCTCTCTCCTCTTTCTCCCTCTGTCTGTCTCTCCCTGAATCCCAGGCTTCTCTGCAGAATGTCAAACAAAGATCGACACATTGATTCCAGCTGTTCGTCCTTCATCAAGACGGAACCCTCCAGCCCGGCCTCCCTGACGGACAGCGTCAACCACCACAGCCCAGGCGGCTCCTCAGACGCCAGCGGGAGCTACAGTTCAACCATGAATGGCCACCAGAACGGACTTGACTCGCCGCCTCTCTACCCTTCCGCTCCCATCCTGGGAGGCAGCGGGCCCGTCAGGAAACTGTATGACGATTGCTCCAGCACCATCGTGGAGGACCCCCAGACCAAGTGTGAATACATGCTCAACTCCATGCCCAAGAGACTGTGTTTGGTGTGCGGGGACATCGCCTCTGGGTACCACTACGGGGTCGCGTCGTGTGAAGCCTGCAAGGCGTTCTTTAAGAGGACGATTCAAGGTTAGTTTGGGAACTGGGGATCCCCTACCCTCTTCCAACCTCATGTGATGGTTGGTTGGTTTCCCTAGTTCTTATCCTTATTCGTCAAATTTCAGTGTCTTAGTTCTATCTTTTTTTTTTTTAGTATGTTTTTATTGAGTTCAGAGAGGAAGGGAGAGCGAGAGAGAGAAACATCAATGATGAGAGAGAATTATTGATCTGCCTCCTGCACGCCCCACACTGGGGATCAAGCCCACAACTCCGGGCATGTGTCCCGACTAGGA